CTGAAAGTGATGAACCAGAATCGGTCAACTCAGAAGCCCCCGACCGCATGCTGGAATTGTGGCGCTTGGCATTTTGTGAGAGACTGTAGCTACAAAGGGCATCAGTGTCACAAGTGCAAGCGATTTGGTCATAAGGAAACCCACTGTCGAGTTGCGCACAACTTTAGACGTTCATTTCCCTCGAGATTGCGCACAAACATCAACTTCAGAAGGGCGAAATTTCATGGACCGGCGACAAAGGTAGTTCTCGCTGCATTTCGCACGGAATTCGCAAGCAAGAGAAAGTACTTAACAGTAAAAGTCAATGGTATTCCAGTCACCTTGCAACTAGATACGGCGTCCGACATCACAATCATTTCGCGATCCACTTGGAGGAAGCTTGGAAGACTGGCATTCAAGCGTACAACTCTAACGGCTCAGAATGCATCCGGGGAACCGCTGAGATTGGATGGAGAGATTGAATGTGAGATCAACTTCAAGGAACTACATCTCCGCGGCACAATCTACCTAGTCTCATGCACGGACGTCAATCTTCCCGGAATCGACTGGATTGAAAAGCTGAACTTGTTTACTGTACCACTGAATCGTGTCTGTGCTGAAAGGAATGTCACGGTGCACCATACAGCCATACCGACTCCTCCGGGTCAAAGCATCTCTGAACAGCTTCAAACGAAGTATGCGTGTGTATTCCAGTCGGAACTCTGACACTGTAAAAAAATGCAGACAAAACTTACTCTGCTTCCAGATGCCAGACCTGTGTTTCGACCCAGACGTCCTGTCCCTTATGCTTCCCAAGCACTTGTTGAACAGGAACTTGATCGATTGCAACAGGCCGGAGTGATCGAGCGAGTCAATTTTTCACCGTGGGCTGCGCCTATTGTTGTGGTCAGGAAACCGAACGGTTCTATTCGTTTGTGTGCTGATTTTTCAACGGGCCTGAATGCTGCACTGGAAACCCCATCAGTATCCGCTATCCACTCCCTGAGGACGTGTTTGCGAAAACTGAACGGAGGCAAGTTATTTTGCTACTCTTGATCTTGCAGACGCTATTGCAGTTAGAGTTGAACCCGAAAGCAGAAAGGCTGCTAACAAACAACACACATCGCGGTCTCTAACAGTACAACCGTTTGCCATTTGGAGTCAAAACGGCACCGGCAATCTTTTCAGCAAGTCATGGATGCCATGCTGACGGGTGTAACCAGAGCGGCAGCCTACCTGGATGACATCATAATAATGGGGTCGATGCATGATGAGCTATTTCAACGATTGGATGACGTGCTACAAAGAATCAAATATTACGGTTTCCGATTACGAGCGGACAAGTGCAAATTTTTCCTGAAGTCAATTAAGTTCCTGGGTTTCGTAATTAAGGAGAACGGCCGACGACCCGATCCCGAAAATATCGAGTTGATAGACCGGTTACCGGTGCCATCGGATGTCACAACTTTACGGTCATTCCTTGGGATGGTGAGTCACTATAGTGAATTTCTACCATGCATGCATCGCTTGCGGCATCCTCTAAACCATCTGCTGATGAAAGACGTCGAATGGAAATGGTCTGCACAGTGTCAACAGTCGTTCGAGTAACTGAAATCTCTGCTGAAGTCGGACTTACTGCTTACGCATTATAACCCGAAGCTGGAGATTATTGTTCCCACGGATGCTTCAAGCTATGGAATTGGTGCTGTCATTTCACATCGTTTTCCAGATGGATCCGAAAAGGCTATAGCACATGTTGCACGGGCGCTGACGGCATCCGAAAAGAATTATAGTCAGATTGAGAAAGAGGCGTTGGCTATCATCTTTGCAGTGCATAAATTCCATAAGATGGTATATGGTCGACGGTTCACGTTGGTGACTGATCACAAACCGCTTCTGGCAATTTTCGGATCCAAAAAGGGGATTCCAGCATATACGGCCAGTCGACTTCAGCGATGGGCAACTCTGCTCTTGGGTTATGATTTCAGCATGCGATACTTGTCTACGGATTTTATAGGGCAAGCGGACGCCCTTTCCAGATTAATCGATATCGGTAAGCGTGAGTCAGAAGACGCAGTCATTGCCTCCATCGCAGCCGAAACGGATGTAACCTACATGGTACATGACGCCGTGAGTAATTTACCGGTCACTGGCACAATGGTGAAGCAAGCCACTGAACAGGATGCATTGCTGCAAGAGTTATTAACCTACACAAGACGGGGCTGGCCAAAGAAGTGCCCGAAAGAAGCATTGACACAGTTTTCACACGACGCAACTCTTTGTCTGAAGTTGATTCCTGCCTGTTTTTTGCAGATCGCATTGTCATTCCAGAAATACTCAGGTCACGCGTGTTACGGCAACTGCACAAGAGCCATCCAGGAATCGCTCGCATGAAGGCGCTTGCGCGCAGCTACGTTTTTTGGCCCATGATGGATAGCCAAATTGAAGATATTGGCCGATCGTGCTCCAGATGCATCAGTGCCTCCAAGTTACCGGTACGTTCTACATTACAAGCTTGGCCAAACCTGAATCGCCCTGGTCGCGCATACACGTAGATTTCGCAGGACCAGTCGAAGGAGTGCATTTCCTCGTTATTATTGACGCCTACAGTAAATGGCCGGAGGTAATCACTATGCAAAACACGTCGGCCAACAGCACAATTATTGT